TTTTAGAAAATCGATGCTCTTTTCCGAGAAAAATGTTAACATAGGAAAATCGGTCTGCTCAGGAATAGCCTGGAAATAGCGTAGAACAGCGCTGGAAGCCGAGCTTGATTTAAAGTGTTTTTAAGGGACAGCACCACGCTTGACTTCAAAATTTTAAGAATGGCGCTATCAAAACAGATGCTATTTAGCAGAATATAGCTTGCTACGTGCAAGACAATATCATGCTGAACTGCTCAAAGCTGACGCCGCTCTCAGCGTTATCTCCCTTGTGACCTGCTCCTGCCCAATGTCCTTCTGTTTGGCTACCCCATTTTTGAGAGGAAGGCAATCAATTTTCAAGTCTAGAGATAAGACTAAAAATGCCCTAGGGCAAGATCGTCACCCTAGTGATGACGGATGGGTCACTTTACAGGTCCCCAAGGCGGCGGTAGGTCGTCCCTAGAGCTAATGACACAGCTGGGTCAGCCAATATACAATTTTTAAATCCTAATCCTAATTTCAGCGTACGTGTTCTAGAAAAATATACCTATGAAGTACGAAAGTTAATTGTAGCTTAATTTCTAGTTTTGAATTCTTCCCTCAACTAGGCGGCTTCAAAGCAATTTGTCAAGTCCTTTGCCGAAAAGCATGTTCCGAATTAGGGTCAAGGTATATAAAAAGTGGTCTTAAGGTGCTGGAACGGCAATTGAATGGATCTGGTTGGGTCGTGTGTTTTGATCAAATGAAGGACACGGTCCGTTTAGCCAACTCATCATTTCATCACCGTGGCCTCGCTAATATGATATTTTGCTCGGTGGGGTTTTCTCTAAGGCTATAATTTACATGTGAAAAGTATTTACTAATGGCTATGCGCCCTAAAAAACACTAATTTTTAGCATGGGTCCGCTATCCGCGCAGTGATGCGTAGCTTATCGAGGCTGAAATGGATTTTCATGGCCCAGATTCCTCTTTCCCATCCTTTTTAGTCCCGTATTGAGCAGCTGATCAATAGCCAACCGTTTCTCTACTAACAACACCTGCCAGGCCATTCGGCAAAAATAGTTTTTTTGGCAAAAATTCCCACGCCAGACGGCTGCAAGGGAGGCAGATGTTATTACGCGCCCTCGCGATCGACTGGATTACTGTAGCCCAGCCCAATCGAAATTCAATATTCGAGCGAATCCTAACAACTTTAAAGCCAACTGCAAAACGAAAAGTTGGTTGTTGTCCCTTATCGTAATCCATCGCTCCCGAGCCGTCTCTTGCTATTCCAACCCTGATTGGGCGCTACGGTAATGACCTTGGGTGGCGCCCATACCCCCGGGCTACCGTGATATCAGAGGCCAAATCCCGCCCAGAATTTTGCTGATTGGGGGAGATATAGCCAGGATTTAGAAGATATGGCCTTCTAAAAAAATAGTGATAAGTCCGATAAATGATTGGAAGTCGGCCAGATAACTAAAAATTAAAGAAAAATTACGATACGATTTACGATACTCGACAGGGTTAGCCTCACTAAACAGATCTTAAATATTCAAAAGCTGTTTATGGGTAAGGTGCATTAATGAAACAACGTCCTGAGGCGTACCTTCTGGTTATTCACGATTGAGGTTAATTGAAAGCCGAAGTCTTAAAACCGTTATAAAATCCGCCACACTACGATAGCCTAATGCAAATCCTGGTTACTTCTATAGAAAATTACGATCATTCAATATCAAAATAGGTCTCAGAAATATCGTCTTGCCAATCTTTTGAGCCACCAATCGTTACTTTCCGACCCCCACTTCCAAATTTTCCAACATTTCCAATAGCCCTAGGGCCCTCGCGCTGGTCACCAAGCAATCGACATTTTTTATGGACGATTCGCGGGCGTTTTCGGGCCTCCGGCTGGCCGACCGGGGTCATTAACATCTAATTCAAATTCCAATCGGGTTTCCAAAGAGATCGCCCACACCATTGGGTCAATTGGTGGTGCTGGAATCATGCGGAATCGAGGTGGTTTAGAAATGGGATTGATGAATTCGTAATGGGGGCTTTTGAGACGAATTTCATGGGCAATAAATCAGAGGAACGATTTCGAGAAGATTTATCGTAGGGGAAAGCGCCTTAATAGCCCAATACCATGTCAATTAGATTAACGTTGTTTACGAGGAGCCTGGGGAATTTCATAAGAGGATTTTAATGGGGATGGTGAGTGAATTATGAGATTTTACCGAAATCAAGAATTGATACTTTAGCTCGGAATTAACCTCATTAAATGTGCGTAATTATAGTAAACTCATAAAGACCAGTTTACTTGGTTATCGTAATGCATTAATGGATGGATTTTAACGGGTAACGCGGGAAAATCGGAACAAGCGTTCAAAATCTGAAGTTACCATGCCCAAAAAAACGTTAAGCAAGCAAGACAAAAAAATACAAAACTATGTTGGAAGTGCTTTAATAGACCTGAACAAAACTGACTACGTAGGTGTACTATGCTAATTTTGAACGAAAACAGTTGTGGTAGGTTCACTGATAATCACTCGGGGTGGTCCCCGGGATTAGGGCACCATAGGCACCTAGCCTATGTAGCGCCGAAGCCTACGTTATCTGCATAAAACGGGAAATTTAAGGAAAAGTAAGCAGACTTATTTGCTAAGAAAAAATCCGCAAGTCCTAAGTTGAGTCTCAAAAAGATCCGAATCTCATACCAATTGATAAAAATCTAGAAACCAAGATAGCTCAGCTTTTGCAAATATTCATTGATTGGCTCGGTACGATGTAAATTAAATCAGCCGCAAGCGCTTGTTTGGAATCTAGACAATTCATTTAATAGAAAAGAGGATTAAGGTATTGACAAAGTAGTTGCAGTACGGCGAATTCCTAGATAAAACCTAAGTGAGCGCCTAAAGGTGGAAGCTAGGGCCCGACGCCGCTAGTAGGACTTCAGCTTAATCAAGAATGGCTAGGCCTTCCAATAGCTTGCAAAAAAGCATAAATTATCTATTAGCATTAAAGTGTAGTATGGCTAGACACCCTGAGCTGTTAATGGGAATTAGTAATGGGCCGCAGCCCTAGCTCCGACCAATCGACAGGGCCGGTCGGGGTACTGTCATTTGGGCGCAGAAATTTGGGTCGACCCGCCTACCCGGGTGAACTACTTGCTTATATAGGGAAAGCTACGCTTCTTTGGCCTTATTTTTAATTAGAACAGTACCTTCGTAGCGCTTATTCCACATCTAGGCATATTCAAACCTTGAAATCCACGCGTTAGAAGAGATGCATTTATTGACGGAACTTCTTATAAAAATTTGATCAAGAAACAATAAGCAAAAAATTAAATAAAGAATGTAGAAACCGGAAAGCAAAACATTTCAAGAAGGGCAAGAAAATTGACTGGACCAGCCACTAACTAGTCCCATTTGAATTTCGCAGCTGGATGCAGGCGTGTTTGCGCATTATTGACCGTAGCTGAAAATTAAGCCAGCTGGTGGTTCTGGTGATCTTGCCAAAGGCCAACTAAGTACCTGATTTTTGGATTTTTGAAAAACAGTTTAGCCACTCTTGAATACTTTAAACAGTGGCTACTTGGTGGCTTGTTCATTATGATGTGAGCTGAACTACCAAAGACTTCCCAGAATACCTTGACGTCTTCCTAAACAACTAATACAACTGTTTTCCCTTTTTCGACTAGCAAACGCTTGTTGCAGCTTCAATTCTTACATTTCAGAAAATGAGGTGATGCAAATCGCAGAAGCTATGGACCTCGAAGCCGCGCTAAAACTGCCTTTTGCCACTGCTAAAACGAGATAAAACTGCTATTAATATTCAAGGATATTCTTTTAGAATCACCTTCAAGTAAGTTCAGAAAAAAGCAGAATTGAAGTTTAGAAAAGCAAAATATATTAATCAAACGCAGATCGCTAGTAGAAGTCAGAATTCAAGCAATTGGCGAGCGACTACTAACAATGAGGTTTTAAACAATTTTCTTTGACACCGAAATGTTCGCACGAAGCTAATAAAATCGAAAAATCTTCTGCCAATCGTGTGAAAAACAATACCTTGCAGAATGATGACGAAACACTTCGCTGGACTGCCCTGACTCATTGGCTCAAATTTTCGAAACTCAAACAGGCGCCAGGCGTCTAGACCGATTCGAAAATAGGTTGTTACATTTAGCTCAACACAACAATTGCTAAACTCAGATTTTAACTCGGATAAAGCCACTTGCACGACTTGCACTATTTCCTCGAAATGTATGATGTTACTTAAAAAGTAAGTGCATTTGTCTGTTCAAGCTTTAAAATAGACGACGCGCCGAGGCAGGGCCAATACTTCGTTGATTAAATAACCCGTCTTCTTAAACGTCATATCTCGCCCTGACTGAATAGGCTAATAAGGAATTACGATGCCATCTTTGAATCTCGAAAATTTGTGGTATCATGGACGATCGTTTTTGGTCTTCATTTTTTGAAAATCTGCCTGGGCTTCAGGAACTTTTTAAATTATGTGAGACCGAGTTTCTTGTCATATATTTAAAGTTTGAACACTAGTTCATAGATATTTCACGCTTAAATGGCAACAAAAATAAACTAAGGTCAATACGAGTGAAAAGACTGTATATAAAGGAAACGAAAATTTTTATCTGTAAGCCCCGTGTTTTGGAACTCTGGAAAGCCGTCTGTGCTTTCGTTTTCTCCATTTCTAGATCTCGATTTGGCGAACAACAAAATAAGAAGGACCAGGGTTGTGTACTTTTAAAATTTTATTGCTAAATTAGATAACGTAACTAGATAAAAATTTTAATGGGTTTTGGAAGTTTTTAACGTCAGATTACGTGCATATTTCGACTTTCGTATGCCTCTATCCCTAGAACTCCTGCTTGACCTCGTTGAGCTCGTGCGCCTCCGCCCCGCTGAGTCGCAACATTTCCTCACTAAACCAATTTAGATCCAGCAGACAGATATCTCGCCGCATTGTTGATTGATGAGCGGATAGCCGCATAGTTTCCGTGCAGCCTGAGCGATCAGCGGCAAAAAATGTGCCAGGTATGCGTCAGCTCCGCCAACGTACAAATTACAGTTTTAGCCGGTGGCCTTGGTGTGCTCTTCCGCTTCTACTGCGCCTATATATGTGACCGGCGTCAGCAAGGAGGTCAGAAGGAATATCAGAAAGAAGCTATGGAGGGTTCGTAACATTTTTTTAAAGCTTTTTATTGGGTTTTAGATACAGCCGATCGATTGCCGCCCGACGAATTCAAGCAGTACAATATATTCGCACTCTAGGAATTTTTATAATCCTATTAATACGTTTTTTGAGCCCATAAATAATGTAACTAACCGTCCCAACTGCGCACGCAATCTGATCCGCCGGATCAAGTTTTTCTCCTGCATCCAGACCGTTTTTAAGCCGCGTTTTTCATAACGCACATTGGCGCCCCTGCCGCTATCAGACTGCAAATCCGTTTTTTTTTCTGTTGCTGCCCACACGTCGAGATCAGCCAAGTACGTTTTGGGGTACGGTATCCGGGACAGGGGGTGGGTACCGTAGTCTGGATTCGCGCGTAGTTGATGCAGGCTTTCTATATGATTCTTGATACCGCCCAAGAAAAATTGAGTAGAATTTTTGATAGGAAATGGTGAATAGGAAAGAAAGGCCCATTATAGTGTAAAGTGACTGTCATGTGCCTTGTTAGCTAGTACCCGTCCTGGGAATTTCCCATCGACCGGAACTGACTGCAAAATGGCCGAATGTTGCGTTTTGGAATTTTTGCTATTTTTGCTAATTTAGTGTATTTTTATAAAACTATTCTAATTTCTGAACGCTATTATTTTTATGCTCAAGCTATGAAAGAATTTGGCTAATTGAAGCCTATTCGCGTTCCGATGAGCCAAGTGAGTTTTAGGATTTCCACCTGCATTCCCAATTCGATTTTCACGGAAGTATTTTTAAATCTAATTTTTCGATTTTATGATGGCTAATTTATGAAAACCAGATTTCACAACCCAAAAAAACCCAAAATTTTGAACTGGTAAGATTTTGACGAAAAACCGGTTACGGAATCGGTCCTCACAAGGATTTTGCACTGATTTCGAGGATGCGTATCAAGGTTGTGGAAGAGCGATTTATCCAGTGCCTATCTAAGAGGAAGAAACGCGCAAAAATAGCCGCTTTCTATCGTCTCCCTAGCTTAAATAATTCATAACTTTCGAAAAAATCGCGATTTCGCAGAGTTGCTAGACATATTTGAAAACAGCGCAAAATTTTGCACAAGATAGCCCTCGTCGTCAATTGACTACGACGAGTCGCGAAAAACATCTCTCTCCTTATCCGTACCAAACACTTCCGTTAATCCGCATAATACCAAAAAAGCACATGCCACTACGCTTCCGACGCCGCACGCCGTTGACTAATGACCAAATCCTGAATCCAGGACCGGTTCCGCGCTTCCTCGACCATGCCGTCGGTCGACCAAAACTTTGCCTCCTCGCCCCTCCCTGCTAAAGGAGCCGAACGTTCCAATTGAGCTTCAGATCCACCGTACCACCCGTCCCGCATGCGGCCACTGACGACATCTGCTCTTTTTGTTATCTGGTCCTCACTGCCGAATACCGTAATGGATGCTTGTGCTAGGATGCAGGAGCCTGGAGGTATCAGAATGGCTCTTTGAAATGTCACATAGTAGCGGGTAGTGGTCACTACAACAGCGGTTCCGACTACGACTGCGGTTGCGATTACCACTACTGTAAGCGTGTTGTGAGAGAGGTTTTATTTCCGGGTTTTCTACCGCATTTCCTCTCTAACTACTAACTACTACTAACGACTGCTATGTTAAGTTTTGTTGCTCCACAAAAGTGGCAAATTCACTAATATCATCCACAAATTTTTAAGTATTCTTTTGAAGATTTTCAATTATCAAAACCTGCTCAACTTTATGAGGAAATGCGGTATGGTGATAGTTTGTTTGAACTTTGTACTAACGGTTCTGTTGCAGATACTGATTGGACTGGGACACACAGTGGGTGATCATGCTTGAACATGTCCTGGACACGATCATTTATCCATTGTTATCAAGACAGCTATTTGAATTTTTTATAAATAACAAAAAATGAAAAGTTCCATAAAATTAAAAAAAAATCGGCAACCATGCTTTTTTCAGAGGGCTGCCGAGACAACCACGACTGTGGGACGTAAACTTTTTGAACAAAGTGCCATCAAATTTTTTAGTATGCAGTGGCTGCCCTGTAACACCTCCCGGTGAACTACCGCCTGACGGTGTTGGCTGCTTTGGCCAGGCAAATAACCCCGAATACGCATGGACATACGCAAACTGTCTCTCCGTGACCGATAATTGGGGCTACACAATAGCTGATGGCACATGTGCTGCCGGGTACGTTGGAAAAATCCTACCTGTACAGTAAGGCAAAAGTTCCTGGACTTAATGTTTTCAGCCATACAACGGCGTAGAGGGGTCGTGCGACCGTCAAATTCGGTAATTTTGCAGAAAATCTGATGGGAATCAGAATTCCGGGGTCGCTTTGCCGCTAGTCCACGTCATTCCTTAAAATCGAGCTTTGGAAGTTACTGTTTCAAGGCGGCGCGGCACGCGCTTCTAAGGCACGGCTTCCAGCCCACAACTTTGTGAAGGAGCCTCGGATTCAAGCCGAGTTGTGCCAGTAAATAGCTTACAATATGTCAGTCCCGGTGGGCAATTCAGCCTAATTCCCGAAAATCCGATTCCCGAAAATCTGATTCCCGAAAATCCGTCTCCGGGAAAATTTATCCTACTATCCTACTATATATAAAAAAATAGTGTTTGTGTGTGTGTGTGTGTGTGTGTGTGTGTGTGTGTGTGTGTGTGTGTGTGTGTGTGTGTGTGTGTGTGTGTGTGTGTGTGTGTGTGTGTGTGTGTGTGTGTGTGTGTGTGTGTGTGTGTGTGTGTGTGTGTGTGTGTGTGTGTGTGTGTGTGTGTGTGTGTGTGTGTGTGTGTGTGTGTGTGTGTGTGTGTGTGTGTGTGTGTGTGTGTGTGTGTGTGTGTGTGTGTGTGTGTGTGTGTGTGTGTGTGTGTGTGTGTGTGTGTGTGTGTGTGTGTGTGTGTGGGTGGTGTGTGGGTGTGTGTGTGTGTGTGTGTGTGTGTGTGTGTGTGTGTGTGTGTGTGTGTGTGTGTGTGTGTGTGTGTGTGTGTGTGTGTGTGTGTGTGTGTGTGTGTGTGTGTGTGTGTGTGTGTGTGTGTGTGTGTGTGTGTGTGTGTGTGTGTGTGTGTGTGTGTGTGTGTGTGTGTGTGTGTGTGTGTGTGTGTGTGTGTGTGTGTGTGTGTGTGTGTGTGTGTGTGTGTGTGTGTGTGTGTGTGTGTGTGTGTGTGTGTGTGTGTGTGTGTGTGTGTGTGTGTGTGTGTGTGTGTGTGTGTGTGTGTGTGTGTGTGTGTGTGTGTGTGTGTGTGTGTGTGTGTGTGTGTGTGTGTGTGTGTGTGTGTGTGTGTGTGTGTGTGTGTGTGTGTGTGTGTGTGTGTGTGTGTGTGTGTGTGTGTGTGTGTGTGTGTGTGTGTGTGTGTGTGTGTGTGTGTGTGTGTGTGTGTGTGTGTGTGTGTGTGTGTGTGTGTGTGTGTGTGTGCATTTGCATGCAACTTCCGTCCGTATGTTCCAGTCGTATCTCAATAAAAGAAGAAGTTAACGGCAAGTATGATACGTCATTAGGTGCGTAATGGTCATGACACGACTCAGATGTTAGATTTTCGGAAGTATAAGCAAAGCCCTCAAAAAGTTCTATGAATAAAAAAAGTTCTTACGCGAAACAGCGGCACGAAAATTTCTTTCCAGTCTGACCGGCGCGCCGCGCGCTATGTGATTTTGCCTGATCTCGTTCTGCGATTCTTTATAAACACTTTGCAGATGCAAGTCGCTCGCCACCTTCTTGACCGACGGAGATCTGGTCTATAATGTGGTTATGAAATGCCAAGGCGGCGATCTCTTCTATGCCATCACCGGCGTCACAATGGATATGTTTGGTGCCTACAACCCGGTACCTAGCGGATACACTTTATTTTGCGCCTCGGGCACTTAATTCTGCGAGATGTCCAAAATTTCTTTCATGACGATTTTTACGGATTTGTAATTTTAACATGGCATACACTGTGTTCTGCATGCTAGCCGCATGTAACGTGTCATCGAGGCAATGTGTTATCGTTAAGGAACTTGAGAGATCTCACGCTGGCTTTTCGTGGCTTTTGAATTCTCGACCCCCCATATATACCTCACAACGAAATGATGAATGCCATTTACAAAACAGCAAAAATATCAGACTGAGAGATTGGTATTTGGTTTGAAACAACAAAAAACTACGGAGGCATCAGCCAGTTGTAGCCTGGCCAAGAATTATACGATTTTAGCCATGCAGTCGTGCAGGAAAGGCCTGAATTAAAGCAAATCCGATCTCAATTCCTTGCGTATAAACGGTTTACAGATTATATTATATGGTGCCAGCAAAGTCAATTCGAAATTCTTGCAAAAACTTTTGTGCAAATTATGGCTAAATGGCGCGTCCCGTACGCTCTGCACCGCTCTGTGCCGCCCACTCACCAAAATTTTCATAAGCAAAAACACAGTTGACCCACCGGCGAGCGATGTAGTTTTTAATTGTTTATGCTAAGGATATGGAAAGCTTTGGGATGGGTGGAAGGATTCGCTCGGCCCTTCATAGTTTGCTTTCCCAATCGAGCGCTTCAACATAGGGAAACGTCCCATGAAAAGATACCATCGAGTTTCGCCCAACCAGTGGTGGAATTATCATTGGAATACTGATATAATCCTGAAATGAACGCATCATCAAGTGTGCAGTACAGTCCAATCAAGTAAGAAATTTTGCGCTAATTGTTTGCCAGAGAAACCCTAGTTCCGAATAGCATGGACTAAAGGAAAATGGGTAAATGTCGTGGAAGGTGCCATTTGTGGCTTTCTCGTTTGGAAAAGCAGAAACCGCTAGTGAGGCCAGCTTCTGCTCGCCTTGCTTGGCAGCTTCTCGCATTTTGCTAGGGTTTCCTTTACAACACCATACCATTGCCTGCATTTTTTTCGTAGATTTCCTTGAAAGAACCGCATTCACTGGTTTTTTCAGTCGATAGGAAAAATGCAGGATTTTTATTAGCATGTGGTTGTAAGGTGCCGAGAACTATGAAAATTGTTGGCAGAAAGAAATACGACATACCCAACATATATGCCTGCAGTTTGCATTTCATGGCTGGTCGCCATGCGACGCAGAGAGATACAGGACCATCGGCGTTCAACGAGGAATTGCTTTTGGAAAAGACAAATACTGGGGGATTCTAGGATCGGCTAGGTTCTTTCCGAACAGCCCAAATTGCCATAAAAGTCTGGCTATGTTGTCCTGAGGGTCTAGTCAGTAAATTTGATCCCCGTCCATGGTTCATGCTCGAACCCCGGGTATCATTGCAAGCGCAAATAAACCCACAACTTAATGGTCATTGCTGTTCCCACGAACTTTTGTCGAATGGTAATCAATGGATTTACGATCGCTAAAAAGATCATTAACTTTCATTACCGGACGCACTTACTGTATTGCCGGGGATCATTTACCAAGGCGCCATAGCGCTTCGTGTAGACATATTCTGCATTTTTTACCGTCTGATTGTAGTTGTACCATTTCATCGTGTAAGGGTAGTGCGTGCAGCTACGATTATAGCCTGCAAACCACATAGTTGTGCAATTGCTGTTGCTGTAGCAGGCGTTAAAGCAATCCATCATGGTCGTAAACGTCGTCATCAAGGTTCCTGGTCCTTGCCTCAATTGATATTGCCGCTCGAAGGTAATCTAAACCAGAACTATGAACATTTTTTACCTTATTTGAGCGATGGACATGCTTGAATCAATAAACCTACTGCCGTTATTCAAGCAGTTATCTACCCGATAAATAAATCCTAACTAGGGTTGTCCAAATAGTCCCACGCCCAGATTGTTGTGAAAGTTTTTAGTGCCCCTATACAGGATGTCCCAAATTGCCCTCCTTCTAGCGGGACGCAGAAGGGTCCGATTTTGACAATTTAGGGGTCTCGATAGCTCTCGAAAAGGCGACAAACAACCACCTTTCTTTTTTCAGTTTAGACAATTTACTTCATGCATTTTAATTTAGAAATGAATGAAAACTGCAGATTTATCCGATAACCGCATGTTAATCTCCGATCGCAAGCCATGAGTTCTTCAACACTTCAAGACACTGCTTTCAAGATTTTCTTCAACAAATCCTTCCTTATCAAGCGAGGACCAAGACATTTTGGAAAAAAACTCCTTGTTTCTGACCTCGTCGAGAAATTTCGAATGGTGTAGAAATTATATCGATTCTGGTTTTGGCCGGACCGTCATGAAGGATCGATCTTTTGGGACACGCTGCAGAGTCGCTGCTGATATCGTCATTTTTTGAGAAGCAGTTTTTAAGCTCTTTGAAAAGACTTTTGGAAACATCTTTTTTGAAGACACTTTTGAAACTTCAAAACCACTTTTTGGAACAATTACCGTCAAGTTTTTTAATCTTTCGTGTTTTTGATAATTTTGTGTTTCCCGCTCATTCGAACGAGAAAAATTTTATGAAAACGGTTTAATTTTCCGAAATCTGTCGGGAAGACCGAAATAATCGAGCCCGAATTTTGAACGTTAACCAATATGACCTTAAAACGTTATATCCCACGGCTTAAAGCTCCGGAGAAAATTTAGAAAACATGATGATAATTAACAGCGTCGACTCTACATCTACATTTTCAGAACGGTCTGGTTGCGTGGTTATTTGAAATTCCCTAGTAAAAACTAGATCAGGTTGTCCTTGAAACCTACTGAGGCAGGCGGGTAGGTTGTAGGTTGTTTCGGGATGCAGTTTCCGGGAGTTGTGGGCAAACCACGGGTCGCGCTGTAGTTAATAGAATAAATATGGGGTTCGTCAAACTAGGAAATTCCAAGCCCATTACAAGTTTATAAGTTTCTGCGTAGAGGAGCTTACCCGGTAGTTTTCCATACGCGGTCGACGGAATCCCAGATGGCACCGCATTCCACAATCGCCAGCGTAGTGACAATTACGAAAAGGTGCTTTAGACGCATTCCAATTCAATCGAGGGATCAGGTAAATTATGAAAATGAAAATGAATCCGAAAGTTAATATCAAGCGGTAGAATTTGGGGCGCTAAAAATACAGACGGACGAATTTCCTGGGCAGGCCCTGAGCCCCGGAGACTGAACGATGTAGCCATAGCGCCGGGACCCGCCCCTTGAACCCCGCCCACGTAGCTTAAAAGGCCGTCCGCGAGCCACCCGAACAGACCCTAATATGGCTTGGCACAGTTTTTTTGGCCCCTGTTTTTTTTGACGGCATCGGAAAGAGCATAGTCGAATTAGTAGAGCTGCATAGTTTTGAAAGTTTAAAAAGTTAATTTTTAGGGTTTAAATTGGAGTCAAAGTTGCCGACCCTCAAAAATTATCTCGAAAGTTACTGAACCAAATTGGTCGAAAATTTGTCACAATACCTAATTTGGGATGCTGATCATTTCTCTAATACATCCAAAAGCACGAAAATGAGCGGAACATGGTTAAATCGCGTACCCAAAACAGTTTTTCACCGTTTTGTATTTCACGGGTTCTTGGCGGTCCGTTGTAAATAACCTTAAAAGATGCGCAAAAAAATTCTACATCGAATGAGGTATTTTATACCGGGCCGACAGAAACCCTACTCTTGCTATAAAGCATTTACTGTGCGCAAAACAGCCCCCAAAATGGGTCAAAAACCTCAAAAATCACCAATTTTGAAATCGAATATATCAAATCGTATCTAGAGAACGAGCTGAGTCCATTGCAAAAAAGAGCAAAAAGAAATATTGCTTTTGAAGGGGGGCTGGGATCCGGGGAGGAATCGAACTCGGACCCTTCGCCTGGAAGCCCTCCCTGGGGCCGTGGTGGATTGCATGAGTGCTCGCCCACCAATCCAAGGGCCGCGCCAGTTCGATCCCAGCCCCCCTTCAAAAGCAATATTTCTTTTTGCTCTTTTTTGCAATGGACTCAGCTCGTTCTCTAGATACGATTTGATATATTCGATTTCAAAATTGGTGATTTTTGAGGTTTTTGACCCATTTTGGGGGCTGTTTTGCGCACAGTAAATGCTTTATAGCAAGAGTAGGGTTTCTGTCGGCCCGGTATAAAATACCTCATTCGATGTAGAATTTTTTTGCGCATCTTTTAAGGTTATTTACAACGGACCGCCAAGAACCCGTGAAATACAAAACGGTGAAAAACTGTTTTGGGTACGCGATTTAACCATGTTCCGCTCATTTTCGTGCTTTTGGATGTATTAGAGAAATGATCAGCATCCCAAATTAGGTATTGTGACAAATTTTCGACCAATTTGGTTCAGTAACTTTCGAGATAATTTTTGAGGGTCGGCAACTTTGACTCCAATTTAAACCCTAAAAATTAACTTTTTAAACTTTCAAAACTATGCAGCTCTACTAATTCGACTATGCTCTTTCCGATGCCGTCAAAAAAACAGGGGCCAAAAAAACTGTGCCAAGCATTGTTCGGTCCTCTCGCAAACGGCCTTTTAAAAGCCGAATTTCGGCAATTGAAAAAGTCGGTTCAAATATTGCTAATGCTCCTGACCTTACCTCACCACTAAATTACGTTTTTAAACGATTTTTTAAACGCGGTGCGGGGCCCTTCAAAGTATCAAATTTTAGGGGAGGGGCAAAGTTGCAATTGTCTTTTTTCTGGCAAACGGGCAGGATGGGAAGAACGAAGCCGTTCGGGCTGCTGGCTGTGTTGCTGAGCGGTATGTTTTTTAAGCGACCTTGTGACATGTTCCTATAGGCCTAGAAGTCTAAAAAATAGAAGAAGCTCTCATCGACAGAAATGCCAAAATTCAACGCAATCATTGATTCATTTTTTACTTCTGCCAATTTTATTCTTTAGACAGCCTAGGATATTAATAATACCACGTTAATGCAGCTCAAAACTTTTATTAACAGTTACAGGATTTTAAATGTAATTTAGGAACTTTTATTTGATGAGATGGGTGTAAATTATAGGGGGAAAGGATTATATTGGAGCTCCTACCCTCATTTAAAGGAGCTAGTAAGTGAAATTGGCATCGTCGAGGATTCAATCTAATCGGTAAAGCACTAAATAAATTTTGTTGCAGAGAAAATATTAAATTAAATGGTTGTGATAACGCACACGTTCTCGAGCCAAAACAACTTTTTCCCCGCTTACGGATTACATGTCGTAACGCATCCGGGGGGGTACGAAATTATCAATCATGTCGATCCCTTCGATTTATTACATAAAACTACGAAAACAGTTAAATTTCTCTGCGCAATTCATCAATCAACCGAAATTTTACAAAATGAGATTGGGGGAATGCTCTTTAACTTGTCAGCATGTCCGCAATCTTTGGAAGATATCACAACCCTGAAAATGACCCTAAACGATTCAAAAACCTCAAAATACGCACACCAAATTCTAGCGGCTTTGCTCGGGCAACTCCGGCTTGCGGCGGCGCAGGAGGTGTTCACTACTCAATTTCTATCGGATGAAGGTATGATATCGACAGAAAATTCAGTAATTCATTTTTTTCCTAGGGGATTCCGGAGATTGCGTGGAGATGTATGGAAATGCGACATATACCCTGATGACGTGCGGCCAGATGACATGCGATAATGTGACGACCACAACGACAACGACGACAACGACCACAACTACGACAACGACCACAACTACGTCAACGACGACAAGTACGACTACGACAATGACAACTACGAAGCCGAGTACATCGACGTCGACGACGAAGGAGCCGAGCACGTCGACTTCCACGACCAAGGAACCGAGTACGTCGACAAGCTCGACAAGCAGCAGCAGCACGGCCTCGATGAGCACTAGCACGCCATCAACTAGCACCAAGACGACAACTATTCCGATGAAGTCGTCGTCGGCAAGCTCGAACAACACGACACCGGAAGTAACAACGACGACTACCCTGACAAGCACACTGGAGACCACCAGTGAGAACGGTGTGACGGAGAAGAGGGCTACTGAGACGAGCAGCACGCCGACGATATCCACGACATGCATGAGCTCGTCCACAACCTCGGCGACGACTTCGGCTACGACAACGACCGAAGCACCATCTTCAACCAAAGGCTACGGACGAACCTGGACAGACTGGCCTCGATTTCCCACTCGCCCAACTGGAAGTCCTTCAGATTCTGATGATACGACCGACTCTGGAAATTTTACGGAATCGGCAAATGCTACCGAACCTGCTGATGAAACCTCTGAAAACTCGACATCGACGACTAGTGCAACTACTGGTATGACTGCTACGGAGGAGGAGACTTCTGAACCGAGTTCTACAAGTTCAGCTTCGACGAGCGGGACCTCGACATCATCTACCTCGACCGGAACAACGAGTGGAACGACTTCTGGATCTATTACGGCTACAACAACGACTCTGACTTCGACGAGGGGCTCGACATCGGGTTCAACAAGCACTACAACTTCAACGACGACTTCAACTCCGACAAGTTCGGACACGACAGCTGAGCAATCCACAACTTCTCAACAACCGACGACAACTGAGGATTTGACTTCAGAAGCGACCAACGGCACGAGTTCGGATTCGAGTTCTCCTTCTGGAACCTCGACAGGATCTTCTACTGCTATCCCGGCAATTTCAACCACTACGGTCTCTACTTCTGAATTTATCACGACGGATTCTACTTCAATGACTTCTGAAGCTCCATCCACCGACCTGACCACGGAACAATCGACTTCCGAAGGACCAGCGAACTCGACCGAAACGGAAGGCTCGACGACGAATTATTCCGATGCAGGGACAATCTCAATAGAATCTTCTACCCTTGAGTGGAACTCATCTGATTCTACGACAGAAAATTTGACTGCTTGGCCGACGACGAAAATACTAAGTGAATCTACTCAGGATTTGAGTACGACGGAGAAGACGTCAACTTCAGAATCGACTGAATCGAGCACGGTGACAACGACAACAACGACTTCTACAACCACGACGTCGTCTACAACCACGACGACTAGCTACACGACTTCGGATGGAACTTCTACAACCATAAATCGAACGACTTCTGGCTCAACGACGGTGGTCACAACAAACGGCACAACGACATCTGTAGAAACAACGGAACCAACTTCTGAAGCCACGACTGACTCGACCAGCATGAGTTCAACTTTTGAAACTACGGAAATTGAGTCTACTACTGATGCCAGGATCCCTGTCTCTGTCACAACAACGACGACTCCAGAAGGAGCAACGATAATTACAAGCTCAACTAGTGGAACTTCGGAAGGCACGACTGCTATCAGTACAACAGATACCACTACGGCAGGCTTAGCGAAAATGACGACTTCTACCTCGATGCCGCCACCACCAGCGATTCCGATTAATACTATTGACACTTCGTCTAGCAGCTCGACGAGAGGCTCGACTCCTGAATCAACGGTGACGACTGCTGCTTCGACTTCGACGGTAGCTTGAATTGATTAAAATAGCATATTATGATTTTTAGGATGCTACGACTGACTCGAGCTCACGGACGACGACCAGTTCGACAAGTCTTCCAACGCACACGACTGGATCCACAATTACGCATGTTGGGGAATTCCAAGCTAAATTGCACTAATCAAGGCTCTAAAATTTACGAGATTCGCTTTTTCAGTACACGACATCGTCGGCTGGCTCGAGCTCGGGTTCAAACTCCTCAACAGCTGGGCCGAACACGACGGCAGAATCGATTACGGTAAAGTAGCTGCTGAAATTTGGGATCACGAGCCGTCGAGTCTGCTACATGATTGCTTTTTCCAGAAACTGCCCATCTCGAGCTCGACAGCTGGAACCTCTTCTTCCGGCTCCTCGTCATCCGGATCCTCCGCCTCGACCGGTATTTCTGGACAGGTTGGTGCTTCAGGCCTACGTTGTGGCCTTTTGATTTTCTCAGCTGCCGAATATCAATAAATTCCGCTTGATTTTCAGCTAGCCGAAGAATTTTCAGGGCACCTCCGCAACCGGAGGCACTAGCTCAAGCGGTTCGAGCATTTCGGGCAGCACCTCGGGCAGCAGCTCAAGCTCGGGTGGGACGACTACGGTAGTTTCTCCTGAAAAATTAAAAAACAGAAGTTTTTAGGGTACCGGCTCATCATCGTCTGGAACGTCTTCAACTGGTTCATCGTCTACTGGAACTACGAGCGGAGGTTCATCAAGCGGAAGCACTGGCTCATCGACAGGTTCAACCGGATCGATAGGCTCCTCAGCGGGCTCGACTGGCACATCAACTGGTTCGACAGGGACAACCTCCTCAGGGACTACCGTAAGTTAAATTTCTAAATGAAAAATCCCATTTATTTTTTAGACGACGAAATCTACTGCCAAGCCCCCGACGACGACTTCTGAAGGTGAAAGAATTCCGATCTCGACGAATACGAGCAGCACTTCCGGATCGACCACGGTCGGCCTTTTTCAATATCCAAGCATTAATTCAAATTAGCAAACTTTCTTTGTACAGTATTGCAACAGACAATACCAGAAATTGCTAAAATGAACCCTAAAAGAAAAAATAGCTAGATTCTAATGTAGGGATCCAAGTCTTCCGACCATGCCACGACCAGCACCACTCCTGAGCCAAAGGTCCCAATATCATCTACTGGAACGGTATGTAGACTTTTTGATTAGAGACAAGCTATTTCATTCCTGCTTTAGACAAGCTCAACCCGATCGACTTCCACAGCCTTGCCGAAGACCACAACCACAACGACAAGGACCACAGGAACTACGGAGTACGTCATTGATTTCAGTGTTTCGGTTCCGTAATAATTTCTCTAATCTTGTTCTTCTAGGAAAACTACCAGCGATGCGATGTCCTCAACAGATGACTCGACTACGATCTCCATCACCGGACGTACGCTGACCAGCCCGATGGTTTCTACTTCTGACACCGCGTCTACTACGCCAGGTAAAGCTAATTTCCTACTTCGAGCCGTAGCACGATCGTCAAAAATCACAGCGTAGTCAATATTTTTGTTCAGGTAAAACCTCTTCCGACTCGTCCCCATCTGATCCAACAACCTCGGGTTCCACGAATGGAACTACAAAAACTCCTGACACTACGGAAACGACGTCTTCTTTTGGAGCCTCGTCGAGTGGTACCTCACCTGGATCGACTTCTTCTGGAAGTTCTTCGGGTGGCACCTCGACTTCTGGAACCTCTTCGAGCGGCACGACATCGTCCGGAACAACAACCTCGGCAGGACCAACTTCTGGAACGTCAACTACTAGAACCACATCGGACACCTCGACAAGCTCGACCGGAACAACGGAATGGACGAAACAGGAATCGGATGCGACGGCGCTGACGATCAGTCAGAGCGGAACCACGGTAAGAAAGAAAACACGAAAATTAAACCGGTTCTTGCCCCAATTAAGGCAGTAAAGCTTATACCGAAGCCGGAAAAAAACGATAAAATCGACATCGCACGTGTTTCATTGAAGTTCAATTCTGATTTAGAGCTCCGCCACGTGTGACGCTACCAAAATGATGGTGCCCGGAATGGTCTGCTCGGCCCAATACCGTAGGTTTTTTAACTAGCTAGTGAAGAGAGAGAGAGAGAGAGAGAGAGAGAGAGAGAGAGAAAGCGAGGCAAAGCGAGATATAGAGAAGCGAGAGTGATCAATGACACCGTTTATTCGCCTTTTCTTTCAGCCGGCACTTGGGTGTTCGCCGACACTGACCCGGCCCCGACGCTTGGTTGGTTTTTAGACTTGATTTACGTATTTTCCAGCAGTTTTTAAAATCTGAACGATGGTTTAGGCTTACAAGGGAACCTCCCAAGCTCGAAGTTGGACTTCGATTAGCCGTATAGCCTATCTGATGCAGTTTTTCACGCTGATAACGATACCGATATTTATTTTTGCCGAGCGCCACAGGAACATTGTTAAAAATCGATTTAAAGTTTTGTCATGTTTGGCAGCCCCACCTCAAAGCCCCTCCCCACGGGGAAGGATCCATCGGCGGCGTGGTGTAGTCGGCAAGTACTTGGCCTACCAATCTAGAGGTCGATAGTTCGAGTCTTGCCGCTGACGAATTTTTTGCTTTTTGCTTCAAAAGTGCTGTGAAGGTCCTACAAGTCATCAAGAAAGATATTTTTAAGCTTTTTTGCACATTTGGTAGCTAATTCAGGTAGTTATGGCTACAACGAACCACAGGTTCACATACGATCCTCATGAATTTTATGACTCAAAACGCCGACCTTGGTGCAGAAATGAAGCTTGACATAACATGTAAAAAAAAAAACTTAAAGAGATGAGGACGGCATCTGTTTCAACAGGGGGTTTCAAGGGGGGTTCAACAGATGCAGCGGCGAGAGAGGGCGCCCAGTGTGAGGCGCAGAGACATTTTCTTTCCCGCGCGTAATCGATTGACTTATGCCGTCCCTATCCCTTTAAAGACAGAACCTAGTATTTCCTTCTCCTTTTTTTCAAAAAGTTTTCAAAAGAGTGGCTGGTGCATTAAATAGTTGGTGATCCACCGATAATTCCAAATGTCTTCGGCTGAAAAACAGTCTTTCCGAGAAATCGAATCGAGCAACTTGAATTGGTGACCAAAAGTTCAAAAAAACTTAAAACCATATTTCTTGATGACTGATAGGACCTTCACAGCACTTTTGAAGCAAAAAGCAAAAAAGTCGTCAGCGGCAAGACTCGAACTAACGACCTCTAGATTGGTAGGCCAAGTACTTGCCGACTACACCACGCCGCCGATGGATCCTTCCCCGTGGGGAGGGGCTTTGAGGCGGGGCTGCCAAACATGACAAAACTTTAAATCGATTTTTAACAATGTTCCTGTGGCGCTCGGCAAAAATAAATATCGGTATCGTTATCAGCGTGAAAAACTGCATCAGATAGGCTATATGGCTAATCGAAGTCCAACTTCGAGCTGGGGAGGTTTCCTTGTTAGAAGACCCGTCCTTAACAAAAAAATTGATAGGGATTTAATCAATCAAAATTATGGTAATTTTCAGACCCCTACCCCTGCGCGACGGCTTGCCCGCGGAATTTCACCCTCTTCAACGATACGTATGTATTTTATCTGAATTATTATGCCGTTATCAAATGTAGGTCGGAATTCAAAATGACTCGATTGCTTTCAGTTGCCTGCTCGTGCTCCCCTCCTCCTACAACACGTACTCCACAGCCTCGGCCGGCTGTACTGTAAGTCGATTTTCACTTTTTCTTTCACGGTTTCCATTCGTGTCTTCTTAAATTGGCGTATGCCGTATTTTACAAGTAAATTCGTTTCAAGTCAAAAGGGCCTTTTTTGCAAAGCAAAAACCCAGCCTTTTCGGCAATTCCTTTTTCAGAAATTTTATTAAAACTTGGAGAAATACGGTAAACCGCTTTTGATGTATTGATTCGCTATTCGTTCTTGTTCTTTTAAAGGAACTAGGCAGTCCAAGGCTAAGAAAGGGGTCAAGGTACCGGGACGTCAGACCTTTGGCTTTCTAGCTCCTTTAAAGCCGCTGTTTCCACATCTTTTTTTCTTCTCTTCGCCATATCTATCATCTTTGTTCATTCTTTTTGGTCCTGTTTATAAGACGACCATTATCGCAGCCATTTTTCCCATGCAATTTGATTTTTGCCACTGAGGAGAGGTATCATACCTTTTTAAAACACTAAACACATCAAAAATTTTTACGTCAGTGCGGGCCTCAACCAATTCCAGATTTTTAAATGGCTGACATCCGCCCCAATTAATCCTTTTTTCATCTTTTATGCCACAGGCAAAGCAAGGGATGTCGAATTTTGCATCTAAATCTTGTCACATCCAATCTTTTTCGCTCGTCAGCATTTTCTCATTTTTCAGGCCATCGACCAGTCCGGTCTTTTCCAATATGCTTTCTCAAATTATATTTTCATATGTTCAGTCTTCTCGTAATTTCTTTATTGGATATCGCAATTCATTATTATTAGGCTTGCCCTGATTTTGCAATTTTCCATATGCATCAACAATCTCTTAATTTTTGTTGTCCGATTTTGTTGTTGTCTGGCGGAAATTTTTAACATCCCTTTCGAATTTTCTTGAATTATCCCACGTTGAAATTAACTGCTTGCTATTTTCGACAATTCCACCTGTAAGTTCTATTCCTCTAAGTGTCCGTCGGTTTTGTTATAGCCAAACATTTTGATCGTGGAACGGCGTTGGCCAGATGAGCCTTCGCAGGAAATAGGCTTTAGCTATCCCTCCACCTCAAGCCGTAAAAAACCTTGTCGACTTTAAAAATCAGGGAGCTATTGATGTTGGGGGGGGGCATCTTTTTTTTTGGCGCCCAGTCTTAGGCTTAGGCTTAGCTTTGACTTCGCGTACGCCTGGCTTATACTTAGCTTAGGCCTAGGCTTGGCTTAGGCTTAGGCTTTTATTTAGTCCATTACGATTGTTGCCCTTGATATTCAAAGACAAGCGATCCTTTTTGTTTTATCCGGACGTCTCCCTCTCTCTCGCTCTCTCTCTCTCTTTCTCGCTCTCTCTAGTTCGCTCCCTCTTGCTCTCCTCAATGTCTCTCCTTACTTTCTTCTTCCATTTTTCGCTTCCCGAATTTATGTGCATTGATGTTTTTCTGTGACCAAATTTCTATGTATGTTGTTATTGTTGCAAAAACTTGTGCTAGATTCCTATTCCAAATCTTAACCTTAGAAACGTTTTCACATAGTAATAATTTTGGCTGAGCCCAACAGTAGTTGCAGAAAACTTTTTTGCTCTGGGACCTTTCAATAACTTTCATTCAATTCATCGCCTTCATTCAAAAAATTTCGGATGCCGGAGATTAGCCTTTAACTTCTTCCTGGAATTTTCCGGGTTGACTTTTAACCATCCACTTCATAGCCTGCCCTTTGCTTTCTCAAACAACTTCTGTTAGCCTGCCATTTGCTTTCTCAAACAACCTCTGCCAGCTTGCCGCCCGCTTTCCCTAACAACCGCTGCTAGCCTGCCCCTTTGTTTTCCTTAAATACCTCAGCTAGCCTGCCCCTTTGTTTTCCCTAAAAACCTCTGCTAGCCTGCCCCTTGGTTTCCTTAACAACCTCTGCTAGCTTGCTTGCCTTTGCTTTTCCTAACAACTCCTACTAGCTTTCTTTTTGGTTCGCTTTCTACTTTTCCGACGCATTTTTCCTGGCCATCTTACAAAATTGCTCGTTCTTTGCTTGTCCGGCTTTGCTTGCTTTTCCTTCAGAATCTTTGCTAGCTGCGATCGGGAGCTCAGTTGGTTTGCTTTCTCAATCAAAACGGCTTTTCAAAACCACCTGAAATTCATTGAGTAAATGTGGTAAACAAAGTTAGGGTTTGTTAAAATTCGGACAACATTAAAGTTAACATTTCTGAGCCTAGAACGGATTTTATTGCAAAATCCTGATCGTACTGCGGCACTCCCGAGTTGCTGAAAATTTTAAAAGGAGCGTGTCACTTAATTGATAGCTTCATCACTATCAACACTCACTAAGACACATTCAAGGTTTTGATGTAGGCGCCAAGGGCTAGGCGTAGTTTTTTTGTGGCACGATCCCTTTATTGATGCCGTATCCCTCCCCTAGGCGGCCAACGACTCGCAACTTGTCGGAATCGTCGAGTTCATGACGCTCGGATTTGTCGAGGAAATGGAAAAGTGGAGGTAGCTAAACACCTGAAAATTCCCGAATTTCCAAAAAATTCCATAAGAAAAAATTCTCAGGGCTGCACAGGGCTTCTCCGAGCTGTTCTTCGTCAACCCGCGCGGGAACAAGCTGTTCAACACCCAGATTATGGTAAGAAAATATTTAAAAACGACTTTAAAACCGATAAAAATCACAAAAACTTCGAAATTGCCAGCAAGTCGGTAGTTTGCTTTCGGAATCTTAGTATCGATTAATGTGTATAATAAATACCTAAAAGCGCTAAAGGTTCCAAAAACACCAAATTTTTTAGCTTGACTTCTTCAACATCGCCACCTGGCGGACAAACTACAACTACGCCGTTCAATGGATGTCCGACTTTGACCCGACCTCCGCCTTTACCAAGCAGTACAGGGCGTTGAGCACCAACCAGGGCGCCACGGCAATCTGCATGAGGCCGAGTACGCAATTTACTAACTTTTAAATGCTCTTAAAAACCCATTTATCCATTTTTTAGCCTACTGCGCCGCGTTCAACTGCAGCGCCGCCGAGTTCGCCTACTACCTGAACGACACGGTCGTCGAGCAACCGACGGAGGATATGCTGCAGCGTAAATACATATCGCTCGCACCTTTTCTCTCTCTCTCTCTCTCTCTCTCTCTCTCTCTCTGTCTCTAACTTCCCCCTTTAGCCACGGGCCAGACGATCACCCTGAACTGCTTGCAAACCGAGGGCAACACGGTCAGCCTTGCCTGCGATGCGGGTGGAATGTGGGACCCGAACCCTTCGTACCTCAACTGCCCTGCTCCACCAGGTTAGTCATCAAATATCAACTATCTAAAGGCGCTCGCGAGTCATTATCCATGGAACTGCTCGTACTCATAGCCTAGATCAGCAACATGCGATAGCTGGAAGATTCCATGATGCATTAATGATACATTTAAATTAAGAAATTTTCAGCCACCAACACCGTAACCCCCGGCAGCAACCCGGTCGGAGCCTACTCGGAATATGTGGCTAGCTGCGATGAGTGAGCCAATTTGATACCTTAACGAGACGAAAGCTGTTGATTTTGGTAACATTGATCTATTCAGATGCAACCCGATCGGCACTGAGTTCTGCAAGTACAACGATTCGGCCATGCTCTACCAATGCCAATGCAAGGCTGGATACGATGTAGGCAGAGAGGGAGAGCGAGCCACTGAGGGAGAGAGTGAGAGAGAGAAAGAGAGAGAGGGATGTGAGAGCGACAGAGAGCGACTACGAAACGTTCAGGGCTTTATCTGCTCGTTCATCCCGATGACGTGCGCCAACTTCACCGTGACGCCGCTGTGCTACGTCGGAGAGTGTATCGACACGTCCTATGGACCTGAGTGAGCGTTATGGGAGTAGCATAATGTGCATTAATGATATTATCATAGATCGTGAAAATCTAAAATCTAGAGTTCTTGAACTTAAACTAGATGTAGACACATCAAATACATTACAATACCCGAAAACCTGCAACTTCCAGATGCAACTGCCCTGCTGGTTTTGCCGGAACGAGCTGTCAGACGAACCTCTCAGCCCGAGCATGGTTCCCGAGGACCACGAGGTAAGTTCTAATATTTAATTTTTTCATTTCTTAACATATCATTTTCCCCTTTTGTCTAAATACTTATTCTAACCATTAAAATATCTATCTTCATTTTGGGCCTCCATCATCAACCCCGGTTTCTTGGCCATCGCCGGAATGTCGACGTCCGCATCGGCCATCTTCTTGTTCAAGGTCAGAGAGCGAGAAAGAGATAGGGACAGCGAAAGAGAGAGAGAGAGAGAGAGTGACCAAGAGTATAATTTCGTTTTTCTAGATCGTGAACCTCTTCCGGATGGTCGCCACCCTGCCGATCCACATACAAGATCACAGGGATCAAGAGGTTATAGAGAGAGAGAAAGGAAGAGAACGAGAGAGAAAGAGAGAGAGAAAGAGAGAAACACAGCTTAGCTGCTAATTTTTAGTGCCTCCAAACCGTCACCCAGGACGTCCGCACCTACTTCACTCTCGGGATGGCCACCTTGCAGTTCTGCTTCTCCTACCCGATTCTGTTTGGAGTGGGTTTCTGATTTCGTGAACTTCTTAAAAGTTTACTTAGAGTGGACTAAACCAACCTGATTTCAGACAAACATCGTCGCCTGCAAGATGTTCCAAGTTCTCATCTTCCTGATGGCCTTCATGAGTCGGTTCTAAACCAGATTTACGATTAAATTTTTTTTTCGTTGGTCTTTCGTTCATTCAGTTTTCTGAGTTCTTTTTTGTTCTTGCTTTTTATGTTTTTGTCGAAATCAGATTTTGTTGAATTCGGACCAATGAAAATTTAGTCCTGGTCTGCTGGCTTGGAGAGGCGCACAACTGCTTGATGGTAAGTTAGAGAGAAGAGAGAGATAGAGAGATATGGAGAGAGTGAGTGGAGCGAGAGAGAAAGAGAGAGACTGAGCGAGAGAGAGCAAGAAAGAATATGGGCGCCATACAAGTGTCCAATTTTTAGCTGATTGCCGGCTACGACAAGAACCAGTTCCTCGTCGACCTCGACGGCAAGCGGCGTTTCTGGCTCGGACCCTCGGTAAGCTTGGGGTTTTAAAGGGACTGGGAAGCTGGAGAATTTAGCTTTTCTATAGATTAGGTCTCGACAGGTCCGAGCGAGGACGATAATAACAAGATTGAAGATAAATAGAAGCATTTTGCACAGATTTTTCGATATGATGGTAACTGTCGAGACAAGCGGTCGATCCTGACACTTCTCGAGTCCTTCAAGAGTCATTTTTCGACATGAACAAGCTAAAAAATTATCTGGTTTAGTTCCGCTTCGTGTGGCCCTGGATGATCGGCTTCACCATCGGCATCACCGTGGTGTTCATCGACTGGAATGCCGTGAGTTTTTGGTAGCTCGTAAGCTTTAGCGACGTAGATCGTAATAAATGGCATTTTCAGGCAGGCAACAGCTACACCTGCCTGCTGACGTTCACGGATGAGACGTGAGTAACCAGACATTCTAAATATTTTTTAAATCTTCTTTTCTATAATAACGTAAGAACATTGAAAACGGTTTAATTTAAAATGCTTCCTGGTCCCTTGAAAAGGTGAAATATGTGAATTTTCAGCCGCACGATCTGGGTGACCGAGTCGGTGACCCTGTTCGGGATGGCCGGCGTTGCGACACTGCTCGGGCTCGTGTCCTGCTTGAGGAGGGAGTGGGTTTCAGGATTTTTGATTTGATGGCTACCTTTCTACTAAAAAACTTCCAACCACGTATTTTCAGATCCCACCCGGCCGGCTTCATCCGCGTCCGAGCCTGGTTCAAGGCCCACCACCCGTTCCACGTCGAGAAGGTGCTCCGGGTCAGTTTTCCATTAGAATTAAGCCAGCTTCGACAAGGTTTTATATTCGGTTTCCGTTAAGCTTAGACTTAGGATTAGCTTCGGCTTAGACTTTGTTTAGGCTTAACTGAGACTTATCTTTGGGTGAGGCGTAAACTCGGGCAATAAGTGAATATTTTTAGGTCTATCGGAACTGCCCGTTCGTCGCCGCCGCCCCGATGGCCTTCTTCGTCTACTACATGGCGTTGTCCTACGCCACGCAGTACGACGACATGCTGGCCAGCATGTACGTTTTTAAGGATTTGAGTAAAATTAGAAGACAAGGATTTGAGCTCTGATAGCAAATATGTCCACTAAAAAGTAAACTAGTTGAAGCATACAAAATTGCATTTTTTTACTTTTTGCAGTATATCTGAGCCGTATTAATCGTTTCAAAGAAGCGATCTGCTGCTTTACTCTTAAGAAAGCACAAATTAATTTTCAAATTTCAGCATCTCGTTCGCCGCGTCGATGGTCTACTCGGCCATCACCGGCGGCCAGGCCGTCTTTACCCGCAGCCCGGTCAGTTTTTATAGACAAACTAAATATTGGAATTGAATCATCACAATAATTATGCTTTTTAGACGTACTCCACTTTTTGCAAGTGGAGTGCCCTCTACTTCCCGGACTGGCTGTCGCCAGAATGGGACCCCTACACGATGAGGACCAGGGAGGAGGTGCGTGCAAAAAATAGCTCTCTCTCCCTCTCCCCTCCCTCCCCCCCCCTTCTCTCCTCTCTCTCTCTTCTCTCCTCTCTCTCTCTCCCTCTCTCCTCCTCTCTCTCTCTCTCTCTCTCTCTCTCTCTCTCTTCTAACCTAAAAACAGTAGATTGCGAAGTATCTCCTTTTTTCAGACCCGCGCCAAGTTCCGCCCGGACCAGGCGGTCAAGGCGGCGAAGAAGGCGGCAAAGGAGCGGGCCGACCGCGAGCAGGCCGAGTTGGAGGCCATCGAGGCCTACAACGACGACCTCAAGGCCCGAGTAAGTTTTTAGCTTTTAAATGCCAATGCCTTAAACCCAAAACTAATCCACCTTTTTCAGTTCCCGGACATCCCGGCGGAGCTGCTCCGCAACGCCCCGCAGCCCGGCCCGAAGGAGCGCGTCGGCCGCGCATGGCCCTGGTCGCCCAAGGACGACCAGTGAGTTTTTTGATTTTATTGTTGTTTTGTTTGGTTTTTTAAGTTTGGCATGTCAAATTCGTTTGTTCCGGATCTTTTAAAGAGCTCAGAATTTAAAAGCCATGCGTTAAATGATAACTTTTGAGGGCAGGGCTTGAATTTTATAAGCATAATTCTCTTTATTTTAATTTAAAGTATATTAAACTTTATATGAAACAGACAATATGTACTTTTCGTGTATCGGATTTATATCCGAACTTGGCCGCCTGCCAGTCTAGCTAAATTAAACACTTTTGCAAGTTTTCAAACCGGAAGAAATTTTCTTCGCAAAACCGGGAATGGCATTATTTTTGGCGCTTGCTCAGGTTTCATTAAAGACTTTAAAATTACTTTTTACTTTTAAAAATTTAAACGTTTCTAGTAGAGTGAAACCCGGTACAATGAAGAGAAAGGCAGGCGGCAAACCAGAGCAACTAGGTGGCTTGGCTCGAAACTACTATTGAAATAAGCCGCCCCCCTGCTCCGCAGACAATGTTGCTGTTTACACCTGCAATGTTATTTTTTCTCGCCTTTCATGTTAACAGCTGCTGATTTTTACAGAGTATGAGAATTAAGTTGCAGGTTTGTTACCAAAAAGAAAGTAAAATGAAACATTAGTTATATTCGAAAGACAGTAGTAATTTAGCTTAATTGAGCGTCAACACTAGGAGGATTGAGGCTGACCCTTACTTTTGAAATTGCCATAAAATATAGCGGCAGCAAATCCAAATAGCACACTAGGTTTTCTCTTGTTACACGTCTCCAGAGCTAAAGTGCAGAAAAACAAAGGAGTAGAATAACGTAGCGTGCGACGCCAAGTCATAGGATTTGTCTGGTCCGTAGCGGTTTTTTTCGATGTTTGCAGTCGAAACCTTTGCAAATTTCGATCCAAAGAAATCTGTGGAACATCTGTAATACTAGCACGGGCGTTGAGCAGGCTCAGACTACCAGACACCACGTTTTGCTGGCGATAGCGATTAAACGAACGTGAGGTCCCAGAAAAGTTATCATTATTGGTCTTGGCGGATCGTAGTTTCTTGAAATTTCGAAATAATTTTGGATCTGCTCGGAAACGCTTCTTTTGGAGATTTTCGTTGATTTTTTGTGAGAGTCTTTGAGAAAGAGTTCTTGAAAGGTTCCGGCTTGGGCAGCTTGACAAGACAAGGAGACAGCTAGAGAAAGCCGAGGTAACACGGTGAATAATGTCGTCCGTAAAGACATTCTCATCCAAAACACTAATAAACGACATTTTTCAGCTACATGCCGCTCTACGAGCGGCTGTGGACCCAGCGAGGCTGGGCGATCGCCTATTGGGCGATCAGGGCCGCCGGCCGATGTTCCCCAGCCCGCGCCAGCCAGGTCGGGTTTCAATTTAAATGAGCTTTACACAAAACTAACCTAAAATTAGTAAAACATAAAAGCAAAATCTCGGGACTTCGTCTATTTTGAGCAGTTTACAATTAAGCTGCTTTTTTTCGCTTTCTGAAAAAAATTTTCGGAATTAATTTTTAAGGAGCCGCAAAATGTTGCCTTCCCTTAATAGACCATATAATTATTCTTAGCATTTAAATAAAAACACGAAAAACCAATCAAAAATGAATTTTTAACTTTATCCACTTTTAAAAAAATAATTTAATCCATTTTTCAGAAGCTGTTCTGGCGCCTGATGGAGCGCTGGACCTTCAAGCAGGTCCACCGCCGCGACCAGATGAGCGCGCTGTGGGACAAGTTGTAAGTTTTTCAAAATTGTTTTTAATAGGTTTTTGCAACCAATTTAATTCAACTTTTCAGTGTCCGCGAAGTCGTCAACTTCGACAGCGTCGACGTCAAGGAAATGGAGGACAGGCTGGACCTGGTGGGATTTTGGATTCATGATTTTAAGCAGAGAAGAGAGAGCGCGGGGGGAGAGAGAGAGAGCGAGAGAGAGAGAGATAATTACTTACCTGGGCTACTTACCTTTCAGGCCCCGGAAACTGACGCGCTGAAGGTCTTCGACCGGGAAGTGATGCAGTGAGTTTCAAAATTTTGCATTTTTGCTACCTTATTAGGCGTTTGCCTTCCATATAGCGCTTTTTATGGATTTTTTAGTAATTTGAGTTTTTAACAATTTTATTTGCAGGTTCCTGATGAACATCCAGGCGGAGGCGCGGCAGAACTGGAAGCGGATGGAGGCCGAATGGATGGCAGACGTGGTAGGTTTAGCAGAATTATTTTTTGGATTTTGGGCCCATGCGGGTGTTAGGCTAGGCTTAGGCTTCGGCTTAATTTAGGCTTAGGCGTAGACTTCAGCTTAGGCTTAGGCTAGCAAGTCAAGTCTATATCAAGCCTCTACCTAAAAACCTATTCGTTTTCAGGCGCCCTTCACATCGCTGGTCGCCTGGCTCACCTACGTCCCGCCGAGGCACCAGGTCAGTTTTCAAAATATTAAAACTAGCTTAAGCAAATTTTCACCTTATCAAAAGCTTACTAAAGCTAAAGTTTTATACTTATTTTAGAGAGTCACCGCCGTGCACCGCGAAGAGCTGGTGCGCGACAACGGGCAGTTCGGCGGCCGCCGATTCGACCGACCAGAGGAGATCCTGCTCGACGAGCAGGTGGGTTTTCGAGCTTTAAAGTTTTGTTTGCCTGCAATCTTAAAATCCTAGACTTCAGCCGTCCTTTAAAATACTCAAAGCGGCTTCTAAAAGCCGATAAACACACTTTTCCAGATCGACAAATTCTGGGGCGGCGTCGAGGAGTACGAGGAGGAGCGGCAACAGCAGTGGCTCCCGGTAGGCTGTTTTAAAGACATTTAAAAATTATTCGGACAATTATATGTATTAATAACTCCATGCCTTTAGGTCTACGACGATGACGCTGCCTTCACCCGCTGGCTCGGGACGGAGCACGAGGAGGCCGCCCGATTTGTCTATGCGAGTTTTCTAGAGCATTGCTTTTAAGACTGGGTCTTAGCAGCGCAAAGGCATCGAACGCCAAATCTTATTATTCACGAAAAATCTATCGAGATTTTTTTGTAGAAGCCAAAGGAGGCTTGCCCGGACCCGGAACTCCCCAACCGCAGCATCAACCCCCGGAACCGGCCGGTCGACATCTACTGGCTGAACGACGCCAGGCCGGGGTAAACATTTAGATCTTTTAGCAGAAAATTAGCTAAATAAGTCTTAATTGAACGTTTTAAACTTAATTTTTGGTGATATTTTCGATAGCTCGTTTTAGCAGACAATCAGAATAAATTTACCCCGGAATTTTAAAGTCTACGTTCCTGTTGCGTAATCTAGCTGAAAAATCAACTCTAAGACCAAATTTACTCGATAAAAATTCGATAATAGTTGCGATTCTATGTAATGGCTAATTTTCAAAAACTCCAAGCGTTTCTTTAAAGTAACAACTTGCCTTTTGAACAGATTTTCGCTGGCTTACTATAATTCTTTTGCATTTTTAAGCACTACAACTTCCTCAGAATCTAACCGGTTCTACCATGATCACAAAACCGGGCCAACCGGCTAACCGTTTTTAGCGTAGCTTTGTGAACCTAAAAATCCCGCTGGCTTTTTATGCAAGAAACCGGTGAATTTTGTTTTGCAAAACTACTTGAATATCTCATTCTATTTAACAAAAATAATAATTAATTTTTTCTAGATTTATCGGCCCGAAGCGCCAGCAAATGGTCGAGCTGGGGCCATGGGACGGCTTCGTACGCAAAGCCCTGCACACCCAGAATGCCGTCGACCTCGAGTGGGAGCCGGTTTGGGTAAGTTTTGAGCTTTGAAAACTTGAAAAGTTTTAGCGCTATGCAAACGTAAATATTATAAGCAACCTCTATTCCAGGCCCAGCACGTGTTCGAGCGGGACAGGGAGGCCAATGGCCCTCACCCGTACGACTCGTTCGTCCTCGGCCAGGACTGGTTCTGGAACGAGCCGCAATGTGTAGGTTTTTTTGAGATTTTTTAGCGTACATAATTTTCTAAGCCTTGCTTTGCCAAACTGACTGACTTAATCTACCCTTTTACAGATGCAAACCGGCAACATGTACATGGGAATTTGAGCCTCGAGCTTCAGAAGATCCTTACGACCCTCCAATCCGCCAAAACACACCAAAAAATATAATTTTTGAAAAATGGAAAATGGAAGAAATTGTATTGGGTTTTATGGGTTTAGAAAACGTGTTGATTTTGAATCAATTCTTTATGATGTTTTTCAAATGTTGAAAAATGTAAGGAATAAAAATCTCCTTGCAAGTTTTGTGTCAATAAATGCAGAGTAACTTAAGATAAACATGCGCCAGTTTTCATACAGTGGATAACGATTTTTGAGTTTGGCGTTTTGAACTACTTCTTGAGGTTTCGGAAAGAATTGAAATAGCGATTTACACCACAACTACACAACTGCATCCACCGAAATCCACTCGGAATCCGCGAAGGAATACCCACTGGCGGACGTGGTTCCACATGGAAACCGGTGGACGGGTGAGAACGCTGAATCTGCGAGTGCAAGCGTTCAGTCCAGCTCGTGTTTCAACGGACGTTCCATTGCGCGATTTGTGGGACCCGGGCCAGGGATTTCGGGTGGATACGACTGTGTACATCATTTTAGTTTGTGGTGACCCATTTCCGACGATGATTTATTTTGGGGGTCGGTGTTGTTTATCATGCTGACTTAGTCCTAGGGGTACCTTGCCAGAAAGCAGTTTGACACCTGAATGAATAAGCAAACAAGAGAGGACAACGTTTATTTGCAAAAATAAATAAGCCAGACAACCAGGGGGATTTGGCGGACAGGAAAAGGAACAACGCAAAAACGGGGGCCTCTGCCGGTGACGGGCAGGGCGCACAAAGAGGGGGAGTGTAAAGGCGTGTACCGTACTGGTTTCGGGTAAGTGAATAGAAGACTTTCTAACCTTACTTCTGGCAACACGGGGACAATGCAAAAGCAAACGCTGTGAAAAAGGGTGATAGTGTCCAACTAAAAAGTTCCGATTTTTTACTCGAGCAGACGACAAAATTTGCACCAGGCCTTCACAGAATGGGCGCATGGTAACATCGAAAAAATCAAGCATCTAGCACTAAAGCTCGCGGTGCAGTTTGAGCGCTCTTTCTGGCAGGGAGTTCACGCTCCCGCTCAATTGCATTCGGCTACCGTAGGACCCACCTCTTTGCCGAGACTGAAACTCGCTCTGCCAATGCGCCAATATCTGGAACGGTGTGACAAATTGCCGGGGTGGCAAGAGGCTAATCAAACGGCGCAAGAACATGGTCGGATCGTATCAGCTTACATCGAGAAACGCTCTGATGGTCAGCGATGAGATTTTGAGACCGGGTCCCATCCATTAGGGCAGCGCATCAAAATTCTGCTGAACGGGTTTTGCAATGTATCGGTGGCAGCTTCTTAAAGGGTGCGATTGCGATGTGGCCGTACTTTCCCAAGCGGATCACGACTCTTAGCAACAGAAAATACGACGTTAAATCCAATTCTAACAAACACTTCTGTCTCGATTCAGAAGCGAATTCTTAGAATTTAGCTAATTCTTTGTGTTTGTAGCGCTCGCAACATAGGTACGTTAGCCACGCTTTTTTTTGTTAAAATAGTGGCAATATGTTTGAACTCCCAATTTAGAAGTGCTTTCGCCGCTTTGACACTTTTCCGGAATGAGAGTGATTGACAGCTTTTTGGTATTTTTGCTAGCTTGCTCGCCTGCGGTACTCGAAGCCTGCGCCAGAATACAGCCACCAGGTAAAAGGGTTTACCATAAATTTACCGTGCTATCACCTAGTTGTGGTCACAACAACTACAGCTGTGCCTGATGATGACACGACTGTGAGCATGAGCACGACTACAGTGGTATGGAGTTTGAAACGTAGAATTTTACAACCTTTTGAAACGACTAATTGATTTCTTTCATCAAGACTGTAATCACTTTTTCCAGATAGATGAAACCACGACAACAACGCTTGGCGGTAAAAATTATGAAGCTTAATTTGAAGCCTTTATTAAGTTTGCACTGGCTGTCCTGTTGACGTTCCTAGCCAACTTCCGCCCGATGACGCAAACTGTTTCAGCAGTGCCGACAACCCAAACCAATCTTTTACTTACACCATGTGTGCTACGCCAACGGATAACTGGGAAAACGTTATCACGAGTGGCGAATGTATCTCAAGGTGAGTATTTTAAGATGCCTCACGAAAACAGGAACAAGCCACCTTGCACCGCATCAAGGGGCGAAAGAGCAAAATCTTGGTGCAACATAAGCTAAAATATATTTAGGTGCATCGATGGGAGCTCCACGTTTCTAGTCGACGGTGACCTGATATATTATGTCACGACGAAATGTATGGGCGGCCAACTGATGTATAACATTGTTAATACGGCAGCCGACCCCGGTGATGATTATAATCCAGTGCCTGCTGGATATAAGATATTTTGCGCGACAGCCCAATAAAATCTCACTTGATCATTGTTATTTTCTTGTCTCAAAGTAGTCAGAGTCAAAGGTACTGCATGCCTCAAAAACAGTGAGGTTTGGCTGTTGGACAATATGGAAAATTCACTGTTTTTCACTAATCATCGGAGCCGTCACAAGTGCTGGATTTTCACGACGAAAAGCCTCAGTGATCTAGAATGATTTTTCGAATTTACAAAACGAAACGCGTCCGCGAGCGCACAATAGACAATTGCCAAGAGCAATTCCGATCATCAAAGGCTGGTGGGAGCCTAGTTCAGCGCCCTTTCAGATGCAAATCACGTTTCGCAGGTTGGAAAATGTGCGGTTTACGCTATAAATTCGCATCCGAGACCATTTTGTAGCCTCGGGAAACCCTTGTCAGTCCCTCAAAGCGCTCCACCGTGAATTCCATAATGCTGGGCCTGATTTTCGCGCTGGCACTTTTTGCCGTGCCTGGCCTTGTTGGCGCTGCATGCGCTAAATCATGTAAGATCTATTATATATACCTGCGCATTATCCGGATTTTAGTATGCGAGGGATGCCCGATACCAAAGGCATTTCCCTATCCGGGAGATTGTACGGGGAAAATCACCGAAGTGTCTGGCTACTGGGTCGGCAACTGCACCTTCCCACCTGACGATTGGATGCGCATGCTTACACCTAGCGGAGAATGCGTTCAGACGTGGGTTTTTGGGTTCTGGGCTGTTAGCGGGGGCGACCAAATTTTTCCCTGTGATTCTCTACGGCCCTATAACAAAATATAAACCATTAGTATAGCCGTTTACATAGTTTTTAGACATAAAAACAATATAAAAACAACCAAAATTAATATCTTCGGAGTTTTTGATTTTCCGTCAAAAATATATGAAATATGTCCAAAAAGGTACTGATTTTGAATTTTCACAATGTTAAAAATTTTTTTTACACCTTTCTAGCAATTTAAAACTATTATCAACATTAGAAAAATACCCCCCCCGCTAACAGTCCAGAACCGGTTTTTGTGCCAATGAGGGACGTTAACGCCAACAAATTGTAGTTGTATGTCCGGCCATCTGCCCGTGGTGATCAAGGACGCGAAGGCGAAGGACTACGTGGGAGCCGAAGTTTACTGCGTCCAACAGAAGCTCTACTACAAGATCAGGGGCGATCCGCGCTACCCGGACGGAGACGAATTGATCCCGTTTGACGAGGATGATACCGTGATTTGTCTCGCCGTTGCAAAAGTCTAAATCCAATAAAATTGCGTTTAATGACGGCCTTAATAAAGTCATCAGGCCCGGTCTCAGTCATAATATAATTAACTTATATATACCCTTAGGCCTGAACATATTAATAGCCCGATCGTTTGAAATTCCGGACAGCCTGCACGCATGCAGCATATCTGAATCGGTTTTTGGATTCCGAATTAATGGCGCAACGGTGCGAACATTTCACGAAAACCGGAAATCCGCGTCGGCAGAGCGCGTGAAAACGAACACCCGCGCTGCCAGGTCGATCGGCTGATCGAAATATCAGCCTCCAAAAGGCATGAGGTGTCAGTTTTTGGAAAGCAGATTGATGGACTAATGCGACCTAGACGCTATAGGACAGCCGCTTGGCAAAATGAGCTCCTTGCCGTCCTTTAGCTTGAACTTGAGCGAATACCGCTCTCTATCCCGAAATTCTGTATCCCGAAACACCCAATCCCGAAATTCTGTATCCCGAAACTCCCAATCCCGAAACTCTCTATCCCGAAAACTCTCTATCCCGAAAACTCTCTATCCCGAAAGCTCTCTATCCCGAAAACTCTTTATCCCGAAAACTCTCTATCCCGAAAACTCTCTATCCCGAAACTCCATATCCCGAAACTCAGTATTTTACGTTTCCTAACGCCCTACATCCTTGAAGGCATCGGAAAATCATTTTATCGAATTTCCGAAACCGAAAAATAGCGGAAAACTATTTACTTCAAAGATCTAGTCTGGTGTTCGGTACGTTAAAGCTAGCTAGCTTGTTTCGGGATATGGAGTTTCGGGATAGAGAGTTTTCGGGATCGAGAGTTTTCGGGATAGAGAGTTTTCGGGATAGAGAGTTTTCGGGATAGAGAGTTTCGGGATAGAGAGTTTCGGGATACAGAATTTCGGGATTGGGTGTTTCGGGATACAGAATTTCGGGATAGGGGAAATACCCCTATCCGCTATAGGACGCTATAGACGCTATAGGACAGCCGCTTGGCAAAATGAGCTCCTTGCCGTCCTTTAGCTTGAACTTGAGCTTTACGCCAAATTTTCCTGAAAATGCGGCAACCCGAAGGATTATTATTTCTGATCGTTGTTGCGACGACGATCTCATTACTAGAAGCCTGCGCCCGGATGCAGCCACCTGCGACAACCACTATGAGTCCGGTATTTTTTGCGAATCTTTGGCATTGCATATTTTAAGAGAGAGAGAGAGCGTGGGGGGAAGAGAGAGAGACAGAGAGAGAGTGAGAGAGAGAGAGAGAAAGAGAGAGGTTGTGACAATTTTGAACTTTAGGATTCGACCGAAGCTCCAGTTGAGACAACAACAGCAGCAGCGGCTGGAGGTGAATTTAGCTTTCTGTTTCGTCTAGTGTTGTCTTTATTGGTATGACGATTTTTATTGTAGTCTGTACCGGATGTCCCACTCGTGTGCCCGCAAAATTGCCAGAAAATGGCGATGCTTGCTACGGAATTACCGATAATCCTTTTCCGTGGACCTACAGTCTGTGCGAGAACCCGAACGGGCTCTGGGGAAATACGGCGATTGGTGGGGAATGTGTATCCGAGTAAGTTTTAACGTTTAATATAGTTTGTTGCTTTTAGTTTTGCAAATGTATGAAAAGCTAGAAACATTCATATCACTTTAGATGCACCGATGGGACGTCATTTATGATCGATGGGGATTTCACCTACCGAGTGTCGATGCGGTGTCAAAAAGGAAAAATGTACTACGCATTAACAGGAGCTCCAGCATCGCCGGATGGACCGTTAAAGCCTGTACCTGCCGGTTATAAGCTTTTTTGTGCTTTTTATGGGAATGCTTGAAATTTAATAAAGTTCAAATTAAAATTGGAGTCTAGTTTCGGCTTAGGCCTAGGCTTAGCTGAGGCTTAGAATTTGGTTTAGCTTAAGCTTAGCCCAGGCTTAGCCTAGGCATAGCTTAGGCTTGGGCTTAGGTTTGGCTTAGGCTAAGCTTGGGTTTATCTTAGGGTTAACTTAGGCTTAGCTTAGGCTTAGCTTAGGATTGGGTTAGTTTTGGCCTAGGATTGGCTTAGGATTGGCTTAGGCTTGGCTTTTTTTAGTAATTTTGCGCTTTTCAGGTTTGCGTGCTTTACAAAACGGTCCCCCCTGAAAAACCCCCTGACATTCCCAATTTCCCCCAACATCTCCTTGAGACCATTGATATAGTGACGGGATTTCTGGAGCTTAAGAAAAGCCCGAGCAGGGAGTATTCCCATGAGTCCGATGGGGAGGACTCGAGCCCCGCGGCGCCGGGCGTCTCCTTGTCAAACAATATTTCATCGTCTCCAACCAACACCCCGCACAGCCCCCCAAGACACACCAACACTACCAAAACGCAACCGGGAGAAGGAGAACGGGATGAGGTGTAGTCTCAATATTGCTGAAGATTTTGAAAGTAACACCTGGAAAAAAAAGAAAATAGAGGCTGCGAACTGAAAAACCTCAAAAAAACCGATAATCTTAAGATTTATTGTGGAGCAGAAAAACTACAGATTCGGGCTACGTTTTACTTTACCCCCACCCCCCCCCCCGCCGGAATGTTTTCGCTATAACTTTTCAATGTTACATTTATGTACAGTAGCGTGCAAAAAGAAGGCAACACCCAGGACGCTCTTGTTACTCGGCTGCATCGTTATTTTTGCACCAAACGGAATGTTTCCTAGTGTTTTCGATGCTGTAGAATCCGATGAGCAGGGTCCCAAGCCGCGCAAATGACGTTTAGTAGCTTAAATATTGAATTTAAAATAGCTCCAAAAAATCTACTTTTTCTAAAGGCATTTTTCCGTTTCAAAAACATTACCATCGTGTTCAGCATGGTCGATTTACCCAAAGTCAATGTTTCTGGTTGCTTAGGACGTCTTCAGTCGGCTAGGAAGCTGCGATTAATAACGGTCGCCATCGGTCTCATGGGGGCGCCTGCAATACCTTTCCCCCAGACGAGCCCACTTCTTGACCCGTTTGGCGCAAGGAAAACTCCGCTTCCCGGCTAGACAAAGTCAAATCCCATCACAAACGACACTGACTTTGGGTAAATCGACCATGCTGAACACGATGATAATGTTTTTGAAACGGAAAAATGCCTTTAGTAAAAGTAGATTTTTTGGAGCTATTTTAAATTCAATATTTAAGCTACTAAACGTCATTTGCGCGGCTTGGTACCCTGCTCATCGAATTTACAGCATCGAAAACACTAGGAAACATTCCGTTTGGTGCAAAATATAACGAGGCAGCCGAGTTACAAGAGCTTCCTGGGTGTTGCCTTCCTTTTGCACGCTACTGTAAGCTCAAATTAAAATTCTTAGTATATTTTTCGACGCTCTATCGAATGGCGTTGCAAAAATCCCGACAAAAATAGCGAAAACATTGTTTGATTATTCAAAAAAATTGGTCTCAAAAATTTGGTAGCTTGCTTGGCATAATGTGTCTCACTCCCTTAAAAAATTTTTTCAGAGCCTTGAGAATCCTTTCGAAGGGCTTTTCCGTCCAAAACCCGACTCCGATTCCGGGTCGCTTTAAAAAATGAATAATTTTTATTTAACTAATTCCTTGATAGCCAAAATCCTTTGTCAACTATTTCCCAGTAAACTAGAGTTGCCAACGTCAAATATGCCAAGCCTTTTTTTTTTGCTTCTCACCAGCTTTTTGGTCTGTCGGGGTGGTCCCCCGCGTCTAGATTCCATGCATAGCCCAAGGGCCCACCGGGCGCGGGGCCCTGGCCCCGGTCCCCCAGCCTCCAAATTGCCAAAAAGTGGCGCCAGCCCTCACTTGTACGCATCCCCGGCATCGGCCAATTCTTTCGGGACGAGACCAAGGGCGATCAGTTTCACTCTTTCTTGCTTGGCTTGGCCAGCCCATTGTTTCGTATTCAGGGTTTCATCCATTTTTCGAGGGGTGGTTTTGAAGAATTTTGTGCGTTTGAGCATCTTTTTGGGCTCTGGATTTTCTTGGAAGCTGTTGTGTTTCGGACTGCGTAGGCAGTAACGCCACAAGGCTCCTTTTCTACCGGATTTTGCAACATCAGCATCATTATTTACGACTTTTCGAAAATTCAGCGTGACTGTACGCTACCTTTAAAGTTCGCCAACCTGTTTGGTGCTAATTTGAACCCCAGGAATATTTATTGCAGCAAAAAATGTAAGCAGAAATACCAAAAGAGGTTTTTCCTGGCAGACCTAACGCTCCCACCTGGGTGCTCCTTAAAAAGCGCCTTCTGCCCTTCCTTTGTTCGGGTCAAATCGACCATTTGGCTACGTAGACATGTGATGTTGCTAAAAAGTGCTCTTTGAGCACTAGTCTTTTTTTGAGAAGAAGTTAGGCGCTTTTGCAGAATGAAGCTTTATCCCAGTTGTCCGGTTGTTAAAGGGACTCGGAGGTACCAGGATCAAGACCCACAATTAACGGGGGATCGACAACTACGCAACATCTCGAAAAAGCAGCCAAGGCGTTCTTTGATTTTTGTTTAGAGGCAGATTCCTAAAAAATTGGTAGAAACAGGTGAACGTGTCTGGACGCGGCTCCAAATTGTCGACACCTAGTCTTCGAAAGGGGTCGAGTTTGTGTCTTCATTGCCCCTTGAAAGAGCCCAGCAAGGCGCGCATTTATCCCGAAGGATTTGTAGGCTAAGGGTACCATCCAGGTTTTCTGAGCTAAGTGTGGCAAATGCGACACGCCGGGCTTCTATCGGGCTACCGGTTGCAACGTCTTGCAGACGTTCAGGCGTCGTGCAAGTCGCCAGGCGCGAACCGCCAGTTTTTTGCCTTCCAGTGCCTTGGATCTACTTCTGTTTTTTCCGCATCTACCCCAACTTTTTCATCTTTCTGCACCCACCTCACCCCCACCATCATCGTGTTCCCAGGGCCTCTGCCTGGCTGACTAAGCCCCTAAAGGCCCCCAGGCAATAAGTGGGCCTTTAGCTGTATAGGGCTTTTGGGTTGGCTGGCTAGGTACCTTGGCCCTATGTGGGCCCTTTCATTCGCCCGGCTTCCCCCTCCGCCCCAACCGCTCGTCGTTTTTTTCGGGGCTGGCGGGCCATTTGAACATTTTTGGCCCTAGGGGGCCCCGGGACGCTCGGCGGTTAAGCCGCCCATCGACATCGGGCGTTCAGCAGGCATTTTTTGGGTTTTCTTGTTGGGTATTGCGATCGCAAATCGTGGCACTATACTCACTCAATAAATTAAATTTTTTGGTTCACGGATTTGAGGTTTCCTTGCTAGCTCTTTAACATTTTTCCCGTCTTTTTCTTCTAGATTTCGTGATATTTTTATACTTAATCCTACTATATATAAAAAAATAGTGTTTGTGTGTGAGTGTGTGTGCATTTGCATGCAACTTCCGTCACGGGTCGGGATCCGCACAGACGACCGCTCCGGTATTGCTATGGCGCGCCCTTTCCACCTATCGCTTGGAGCCGCTCCCCCGCCCCTCTGCATCATTTCCAGCCAACTTTCCCTAACCTAATAGTGAAAAAGAGAATAATAGATTGAAATAATAATAATAATGATTATTAGAAGGTGTTTTTATTGAAATCGCTGTAAAGGGAACCAGCCTTGAGGTTTTTTGCGGTCGTTCCAACTAAATGTACGTTTTTTTCAACGTTCTATCTCAAATTGTCGATAACGCTGGAGCGAAGATGTCGATGGAGCCCTAAACTGAAAAGTTAACAGTGCGTGATAACATCCGTGATACTCAATGACGTCATGCAGCAGTATCGATGGCGTGTGCTGCGTTTTTCAGCTAGGACTCCTGCGATGATTTAGGGCGTAGCAGCTGCATCATCGATGATCGCACTGTTACTTTACAATAGCAGAACAGCATGAAAAAGATATACGAGTTCGCCCCCGATGATAGCTTGCTGGGTAAAAGTAGTTAGAATATTCCAAGGCGGGCGTTCAATCAGTTCCCCGGTGCTGACGCTTCCAAGTCTGAGCTTCTTACCCAAATCCTTACACAGCCAGTAAAGAAACTACCTCGTTGAATTCAGAAAGAAAAACCTCGCAGAAAACCCCCGCGTATCTTTAATACGATTACAAGCTAGGTCAAAGATATTACTATTCACGAAGACAAATCATCAATCGATTTAACTTTCCAGTTTCCGGCTCCATCGACATCTTCCTCCTTCCAAAAGCGTTATCGACAATTTTAATTTAACTAACTTACTATCGATAGAAAAAGAAGCAGCCTGTTGTCCCTAGGCGGGAAGATTGTGATAAAACGCCGTACATTTAGTTGGAACGACCGCAAAACCTCAAGGCTGGTTTCCCTTTACAGCGATTTCAATAAAAACACCTTCTAATAATCATTTATTATTATTATTTCACTCACTATTATTCTCTTTTTCACTATTAGGTTAGGGGAAAGTTGGCTGGAAAACGCGAGAGGGGCGGGGGAGCGGCTCCGGGGGTTACGGTGGAAAGGGCGCGCCATAGCAATACCGGAGCGGTCGTCTGTGCGGATCCCGACCCGTACTTCCGTCAGGGTGTCCGGAGGATATCTCTAGAGGGGCTGAATTTTTAGGGTATGTATGATACGTCATTAGGGTGGGTAAT